CCTGAAGTTGATCCCCAACTCACCCCCAAACACGCACGATTCTAGTTGTTTCTATGCTTTTGCCTAGCTAATTCTCGTGTGTCTATTGTTTCATGTGTGAGAGCGAGCATACATGAGCTAATGAAAAAAGTAAAAGTGAATGGAATGAATGAATGCGTAAGACTCCAAAGAGCTCAGTGCGGGAGGGCACGTCCTGCCCCTTTCTGATCTTCCCTCCCGCGTGGACTTCCATCACACACATCCCCAGCGCCTCTTGGGGCATATGGGGCCTTTCATCCGAGTACAAAGCCTTTTCTACTGTCAACCCACTTATACCACCACGTCCCTCTTCCCTGACTGCCGACTTAACAAATGTTTCCTGAGCACCTGCGCTACCCCAGGCTCCTAGAATATTTGAAACAACCCTTCCCATTCCAGGAATTACTAGCTCTGGTTCACAAAATCTGGCCAAGGGCTGGAGCAAAATACTACAGGCAAAGTGCTTGCCTTGCACAAAGCCAACCCAGGTTCAATCTCTGGCACCCTATCTGATCCCTCAAGCCCTGCTAGGAGTGGTCCCTGGGCAGAGAACCCCAAGTATCATCAGGTGTGGCCCCACACAAACAAAAGCTACCTGGTCATGACCCCAGAGCTTGCTTATGAGGGCGGGTATCCTAAGAACTGTGACCACCCCAAACCCTCCCCCTTCCTCCCCAGCTCTCCAGCCCTCACTCCGACCCTCTGCAAGCTCCTCTGTTGTCCCCTGTGGGCACACTGAGACCATACCCCAAAGGAAACCCAGGACCTAAATTCTGAGAGCAGGGCCTTTTTTCACTCTTTAGGGGCCCCAGACTTTTTCCTGCGGTTCTGAAATTGCCAGAGTAAAGAAAAGGAAAATCAGGGGCTCCCCATGATGTTTCTCACATACAGTGTGGGTGGGGGCTTCCCAGTTACCAAAACAGAAACAAACATCCAGGTGCCTATGTCCCCACTATCACCCCCTTCTTCTCCAGGTAATCACCCCAATTCCATCCACCGTCCAGCAGGCAGTGAAAGGCTCAACCCAGCCCCACATTCACACCCAGTCCTTTACACATATCCCCACTGTCCAGGGTAAGCCTCAAAGTGGTCCTAGCACCACAGCAGGTACCCACAATATGGAACGGGTAGGGCTGTGGATTATACCACCCACACACATGCACAAACGCACGCACACATAACACATACGCAGGCAGGCACGTGCGCAAACTCACACAAGCACGAACGTGCGCACAAAAACGCACGCATGCACAAGCACACACACGCATGTGCGCACACACATAAACATATGCACGCAGGCACGCACACACATGCACAAACACGCACACACGCGTGTGAGCACACATCCACACTCGCGCACGCACGCGCATACACACACGCGCGCGGACACACACACACACACACACACACACACACGTGTCCCCAGGAAAGCTGAGATCTAAGCCAAGATCCCCCCCCCCCCCCGGGCGCAGCACCCCACCCACCACCGCGCGCTCACGGGCGGGGACACTGACGCACAGGAGAGTGGGTGAAGCCGCGCCGAACCCAGAGCACCGACACACGCACGAGTTGTACACAAAGCCTCGGGCGCGCACACGCAGGTCCACGCGCTGTGCCCAAAGTTCCACGCCGAAAGCCACGCACCGGCGGCCCGCGCGCCCGCCGCCGCAGCGCACATCCCCGGCTCCTGCCCTCGGCGGCCGAGCGCCAACGGGGCCCGGCCAGGCCACACCGGGCCGGCGGCGCCCAGAGCCGCGCGGCCGGGCGTTCCGGGGAGGCCGGGCTCGGCGGGGAGCCGCGTGTCCTTCGGCCGGGCCGGGAGGTCAGGCTCGTCGTCTAGCGCCGCGGCCCCCCGCCTCGGGCCCGCAGCCTCCCCGCCGGCCCCGCCGCCCCCCGGCGCCGGCGTACCTGCGCCCCGGCCGCCCTCCTGGCCTCCGCGCGCGGGCGCGTCCTCCCCGGCGCCCACCCGCCTCGCCGCAGCCCGCGTCTCCGCTGCGGCGCATCCCCGGGAGGGCGCGGGCCCGGCCGCCGCCGCCGCCGCCGCCTCGCCCTCCCGCGGCTCCCGCCCCCTCGCCGGGCGCACGTACCTGCCCGCGCCGGGGAGAGGGCGCCGGGGGAAGGGGCGCGGGGGGCGGGGATCGCCGAGCACCGCCGAGGGAGCTCCGCCCGCAGAGTTCGCGCTGGAGAGACCCGGAGTCCGGCGGGGGGCTGGGGGTGCAGCTCCTCGTCGCCTTCCGGGGGTCGCGGCGTTGGGGGCGGGGGGATGCTCGGTCGCTCCAGCGCCCCGGCTTCGAGGCGAAGCCGAGAGCCCGCGGGGCTCGGTGCAGGGGCGGGGCGCGGGGGTGGGTGCGGGCGGAGACCCCTCCCCCGCCGCCTGCTTCCCGGCCCGGCGGGGGAGCCCCGACTGCGCCAACGCCTGACGCTTCACGTTCCCCGCTCGGCCCCCCGCCCCTCCCCCGGCACACTCGCGCGCGCACGCACGGCCCCCAGGTAGGACCCAGGGTCCTCTCCGAGCTCCTTCGAGCCCCACGGTCGGCGCCCGAGCGCGGGGCTCCGCGGATCGAGGGCGCCACCTAAAGGTGCAAGAGAGCCTCGGACCAACCTAGGGAGCCCCCGGCCCTCGCGCTTCTCGCTCCGTGGGACGGTGGGGTACCGAGCCCGGAGGGATTGGGCTCCCTGGCGGCCTGGCCGAAGGGCACCCGCACCCTCGTGAACCCGCTACCGCGCTCCCTTCCCTGGCTCCCCAGCGGGGGACCCTACCAGGCTCGCGGGCGCGCTCTCGCCCCCGGCCGCTCCCTTTGTTCTGCCCGGGTCTCCCGGAATCCTGATGGGTTTTTTTTTTTTTTGGTCAATTGCCCGCCTCCTTCACCAGAGAGTAAACTCCTGATCCCCCACCCTAGACCCCAGGTGGGTGGGTGTGTCGGGGCGTCAGAGGGCGTGACTTCACTCTCCTGTACTGGGTCCTCAGGCCAGGGACTGAGCGAGGAACCCTTCCCCTAACAGTGAAGGACACGCTCCCTCTTGGGGGGCTACTAAAGCCCAGAGAGAAGTTTCATGGCAAGATGGGCAGGTGGGGTTTCCAAAAAGACTCCTGAGCCCCAGCGTTGGCTTCGGGCACCTACAATCCAGTAGTCCCCTCTGCCGCCGGAAGCTGGGACTGCACGCTCCAGCTGTGAGGGCTGGCAAAGGGGGGTCATCTAGAAGGGCCTAGAATTACCCAGAAGGGCAGAGGAGAATGCCCTAGCCTGGCTCCCCGGTTTTACCCGGGTGCAGTCCCAAAGGCAGTGCCTTCCTCACCAGCAGGCAGGAGGATTCACCCTGGAAGCCAGGTGCCTGGGTCTCTACAGCCCTGTGACCCTGTGATGCCACTTGGCCAGGCCCTTCAGGGATGGGGGAGCCCCAGCGCTGACTGCCACCCACAGACCAGGCCAATTGTCAAAGCCTCTAAAGGATGCTAACTGCCGGGCACCCTGGTCGCTGGGCTCCCCACTTCACAGCTGGGCAGCCGTGTCCAAGAGGCTCCACTCTCCAGCTCACTCTCCTCTCCTGTGGCTTGGCTGTCCCCTCCCTCAGACATCCTGTCCCTTGTCCCTTCAGACTCTACTTCCAGGTGTTCCAGGCTCACCCCCTCACTTCCTTCCTTCCAGCCTTTGTCAGGTGTTGTCACCTTCTCTGAGATTCCTCCCGTATCATCCTATAAAAGTTAAGGGGACTGGAGCAATCGCACCGTTGGGTAGGGCACTTGCCTTGCACATGGCCAACCTAGGTGTGATCCTCGGCACCCCATATGGTTCCCTGAGCCCCACCAGGAGTGATCCTTGATCACAGAACCAGAATTAAGCCTCAAATTCTGAAGGTATTCTCTCCCCACCCCCACCCTCCAAAATAATAAAAGATGGCAGAGCCCTAACGCCCCTTTCTCCCTCACTTGGAGTACTGTACTGAGCATTTTTCAGCTCCTGACATTGACTTATTCATTATTTATTGTCACAATCCCCCCACAATCCCCTAAAATGTAAACACAGAGATAGGAGGGGCCTCAAAGGGCCTAAGTTCTTATTTTACCTACAGGAGCCCAGGCATTGCATGGTCCTTTGGAGCACTGCTGGGAATGAACCTCATGCACCAAGCTGGGGGTAGACCCTGAGCACTGCCAGTGTGGCCCCCAAATCAAATATATATAAAGCTAAAATAAGTGCCACCAGGATGGGAGAGATAGTACAGTGGGTAAGGTGCTTGCCTTGCACTGGCCTACCCTGGTTTGATCACCAGCACTCTGTATGGTTCCCAGGAGTGATCCTTGAGCACAGAGCCAGGAATAAGCCCTGAGTACCAATAGGTGTATTCTCCCACCACCAAAAAAAGGAAAAAAAGAGTGTCTGAGGGCAAAATATGCCTGATTGTCCTGCATTCTTATCCCAAGGAATAAGAAAAGAGCAGACACTAGGACCAGAGAGATAGAATACAGCAGGTGGGACGTTTGCCTTGCACGCAGTCAATCAGGATTCAATCCCCGGCATCCCATATGGTCCCCCAAGCACTGCCAGGAGTAATTCCTGAGTGCAGAACCAGGAATAAGACCTGAGTATGGCCAGATGTGGGCCCCCCCCCAATCAAAACAAAACAAAGAGAGAAAGAGGGCAGATACTTAGAGGCCCTCAAATTTTTCTGAGAATCATTTAATTAAAAAAAAAAAAGAATCATTGAATAAACAAGCCCAAAATGTACTAGGCATCAGTTATATACCCATTAAGTCAGTAGACTCCATTTCAGTCATCAGGAAGCAAAGGTAAGTGGTGCTGTGTGAGCCAGAGACAAGGGGCTTCCCTGGGATGGGAGATGAGGATGGCTCTCTCGAGCAGTGAGGCCATTTAAGATGGGAAGGATGAGTAGGAGGCAGGCAGGTAGCCAGCAGAGGGGCCGGCCTGGGCAGAGGCCCTGGAGCTGCAGGGAATGTGGTGAGTGTGAAGGCTGATGGGAACATGGAGGATTTCTGGGCCCTGGACAGGCTGGGTACCGCAGCACTGCAGTATCGGAGAGCTTGCCCTCGCCCCTCTGAGACTGATGAGCGTGAGGAACGATTCAAAAAATAATAATAATAATAACCTTGTCCTCTTTGCATGAAAATTTGACCTCTGGTCAACTAGCTCTGTTTCCTTGGAAACAGATAAATATGTGTTCACTATGTTACCAGGCAACGTTGCAATGATCAAGAATGACACTCCACCCCCACCCCCGCTCCTGCTCCCCCAGGAGGAAGCCTGCGTGATCTTCCCGGTAATGAATGAGAAGAGGAGATCACAGAATGGGTTACTGTTGAGCTTCATGAAGATGCAGAGGATCACATGGAGAAATATTTATAGGCATGAGTATACACACGGGTTAGTATCCACACTTATGTTTCCTTTCTCTCAGCTCCAAGGCCGTAGAAGCAATGGCGCTGCAGAGCACCGAGCACTCCTGGCACTCTTGGTTTCTGAACCATTGTTCAATCGGAGGAACCAGGCAGACACGGCAGACCCAGGACTGGTGCTGGAAGTAGGCAAGGCGAGCCTGGAGTCTCCTGCAGTGCCAGGGAGTGAGGCGATGCTTAAATAAGTGAATGAAACACACAGAGAATAGTGGTGTGTCAGAGGACACAGGGGCCCAGGGAAAGAGAGCCCCATGGCAAATGGTAACGTTTGCTAGGCAAGAGAAATAAAGTCCGAGTGGGACTGTTACCTAAAATATGGTGAACAAAAATAAGGGGAGAAAAGATTGTCTTCAGTGCAAATTCCCCACCCAGAGCGACCCCCTTCTGAAAGAGGCAGGGCCTCATCCCCCAGTTCTTAGGTGTGGGCTGAGCACAGAGGTTTTCAGAGTTCAGGATGGGAGGCGGAGTGGAGAGGTGGCAGTGATGCTTCACAGTCGGGAGCCCGACAGAGCTGAGGTTATTCTCAACAGCCAGAGCACACTGATAGTAGGGCCTCTGGATCTGATGAAAGCCTACCTCGGCGGCCCTTCTCCCAGGACCCATAATCGCAGACTAACCATGAGCTAAACATCAGACAAATCCCAACAGCGGGGCGTTTTCCAAAAAGAACCTGAGCAGCACTGCTCACCAACGCCAAGTACATAAAAATTACCAAGTGCACTGAAGAGAAGGAAGGCGTGGGGAACTGCCACAGCTCAGGGGAGTGTTAAAGAGAGATGTAACAAGTAGGGCCAGGAGATGATGCAAGCACACAAGCACACATCCTGAGCATTATGAGCCCTGGGTTTGGTGCCTGGAACCACATGCCCCCACTCCAGCATCAGCAGGCTATGGGCCCAGGCACCATGCCTCTGGATGAGAGAAATTGGGAAGGATCCTCCTCCTCCCTGGTGACCCCTATTTTTTAATATTTATTTATTATTGAATCACCATAAGAACAGTTACAAAGCTTTCAGGTTTAAGTCTTGGTCATACAACGATCAAACACCCATCCCTTCACCAGTGCACATTTTCCACTACCAAGAACCCCAATATGCCCCCATCCCACCCCTCCCCCTGCCTGTGAGGCAGATGATTTTCACTTAACTCTCTCTCTACTTTGATTACATTCATGCTCGAGCGGGCCCAGTAACGTCTCCATTGGAGACTTGACAAAAGATGCACCATTATTATTTGGAATTTTCCCCCAATAATCAGACCTGCTGAAAAGGCATCATTAAATAATTTGTTTTCTATTGCTGGTTATTATAAAGAGTATATGACATATCTGGAGCAATAGCACAGCGGGTAGGGCGTTCGCCTTACACGCGGCCAACATGGCCGACCCGAGTTTGATTCCTCCGCCCCTCTCAGAGAGCCTGGCAAGCTACCGAGAGTATTCGATATGCCAGACACAGTAACAACAAAGTCTCCCATGGAGACGTTACTGGGCCCGCTCGAGCAAATCGACGATCAACGGGAGGGGCCTTTATATGACATATCACGGCCACACAACTTTGGATTTCTGATATTTTACTAATTAAATAAGGAGGGATTTCTGCCCAAAGCCATGGGTTCTGAATTGGGTCTGTGTACCTCTGGGGCCATGGCCATGCCGGAGAGCTGCTGGGGGTGGGGGCAACTCATGATCTCAATGGGGCGAAGGATGGGCTGGTTCCACCCCCCCCCCCCCCATCCCATGAGGCCACAGTTACCCCGTCACTGCTGGCTCATACCTGGCTGTTCAATAGGCTCTGAGGCGGTGGCCACTGTGCCACCGGGAGGGGGGGGGGGTTGGGGCGGGAGGGCAAGGCGGAAGGGACAAACACCCTTTCCCACCCAGTGGGTCATGGCACCATAGCTTAATGCATACTCCAGTCACATTTCTGCCAGAAGCCGCTAGGTTCTGAATTGGGTCCGTGTGCCTCTGGGGCCATGGCCGTGCTGGAGAGCCACTCGTGGGGGACAAGGTGACCCCTATTTTTCAAGTGTTTTGCATTTATTGACAGAACAACTAAATGTAGTTTGATATCTTAGACCACAAAAGGACATTTGGCCAACACTAAGGAAATCTGAATAAGATATGGTCTTTAATAATAATGAATCAATCTGGGCTTACCAGTTGTCTCAAGTATACCTTAGTTAAGTTTTAATATTAGCTATAGAAGAAATTGGATATGGGCCTGATGGGTCCCTTCTGTGCAGGAAAAAAAAAACACCTGATTTTTCTATTCATCAAAAATGATACCTGTAGGGCCTGGAACAACAGTACAGTAGGTAGGATGTTTGCTTTGTACAAGGCCAACCTGGAATCAATTCCCAGCATCCCATGTGGTCCCCTGAGCACCACTTGATCACTTGACATCCTGTTACTCATTGATTTGCTCGAGTGGGCGCCAGCAACGTCTCCATTCGTCCCTGTCGAGTGCTAGTGTAGCCCAGTGGCATCTGCTCATTCTAGGAACACGAAGAGCCTCAAATGATCGTTCAGGGTCTTGACGAAGAAGTCTGACCATCTTCTAGGTGGGCAGCCGCGCGATCTTTTGACATCCCGTGGAATCCAGTCGGTAATGGCTCTAGTCCAGCGGTCGTCTCCAAATCTCATTACATGTCCAGCCCTGAGCACCACTGGGAGTAATTCCTGAGTGCAGAGCCAGGAGTAACTCCTGAACATCACTGGACATGACCCAAAAAGCCAAAATAAAATAAAATCATTCCTTTAAAAAATTAAGTCATTTTTAAGACCGTAATTGGTACATTTCATGTGCACTGGAAGAAACTATAAATACATGCTGGGAAATCATAAATTGGATTTTCTGAGCCTGGTGACTCACGTTACTGGGCATGGCTGAAGAGAACGTTCCCTTGGACTGGAGCTTTTAAGCCACAATGACTTGGGCACCCACTAGGGAATCTCTGCTCCTGCGCCCACCCACCGTGCCGGCTGGCAGCCTGGTCCTGAGCAAAAGGAGCGGCTGGGGCTGGATTCACCTAGGAGCGTATTGACTTAACCATCCTGCTCCCTTCCCAACAGGTTGATGCTGTGTCTTCTCTGTTGAATCAGAGTTTGTGCTTGAGCCTAAAACCCTGTGTGCACTCTGCCAGTGACATGATTCGATGAACACTTTGAATACATTCTTCCTTTGGCTTCTCCTGGGTATAGCACACATGAGAGAACATAGAGACCACAAGGGAAAGTGTGTATAGTTGTGTGAGCATGCACGACATTTTCAGTTCATTTGTCACATATTCGTAGAAATGAATATGGGTCTGCAAAGGAGAGAATGGGGATGTCTAATTTTTGTTTTGTTTTGGTTTGATTTGGTCTGGGGCCACACCTGGCTGTACTCAGGACTTACTCCTGTTTCTACGCAATCATTCCTGGAACAATAATATGGCATGCTGGGGATCAAACCCAGTTCTAGTCACATGCAAAAGGTAAGCACCTTATCCACTATACAATCTCTCCAGCCCCAGAATGAAAACTTCTTATAGAACACTAGAACATCTTCCAGAATTTTCCAAAACATGGTGATTCATAACACAATTTTAGGTGTCTAGCGGGGGAAAATATGTTTTTATTATCTATTGCTGCATTACAATCCCTACTAAAATTTAATAGCTGAAAAGAAAATCCTCATGTATTGCAGTTTTGCCCCTTAGACTGAACTCAGCAGGGACAGCTAAGTCTGTTCTCCCAGGCACTAGTCAGGGTGAATGAATAGTTGGGAGCTGATGGGGAGCACTGAGCCCTACCCTGTGTCCTAGGATGTGGCTCTCACTATCAGGGTTTTCCTGTTCTCTATTACCTGTATTCTCCAAGTGGCTAGCTTGGACTTCACATGATGGTAGTTTCAGGTTGTCAGATCTTGATATGGCCCTGACCTTTCCCCCAGAGTATAAAAGAAGTCACTCTGCCTGAGCATTGGAACAGGCATTTCTGTTTTCTGTTGCTTTAATGCAGGCAATAGCCAGATAAGATGGAAGGGATAGTAGAGGCACATAGTAGAGGCACATATACAGGGGGATGGTAAAAGTCTCCCAACTCCTATAGTTTTCTATACACACAGACATATAATAGATAGATAGATAGATGCAAGGTTCCGTCCCAGTGGAAAACCAGCAGGACCGTACTACTGTTCAAGAAGGGAGACATCCATGACATTGGCAACTATCGCCCGATCTGCCTATTGTCTGTCATCTACAAGTTGTTCACTCAAGTCATCCTAAATAGGATTGGCAGAACACTAGATGAAGGACAACCATGCGAGCAAGCCGGGTTCCGCAAAGGATTCAGCACCATCGACCATTTCCACACGATAACCAAGCTCATTGAGGTTTCTCGGGAGTTCAAGATGCCGCTCTGTTTAACGTTCATTGATTTAAAGAAGGCCTTTGATTCTGTTGAGATGGAAGCGGTCATTGAAGCCCTAGCCAATCAGGGCATTCAAGCTCCTCCCTGAGCTGTATTGCGGATTCACTACCAGGATCTCACCATTCTACAAAGAAGTGATCATCGATGTCAAGAGAGGGGTTCGGCAGGGTGATACCATTTCACCGAAACTCTTCAGTGCCACCCTCGAGAACATCATGTGATGACTGGAATGGGAAGGAATGGGAGCGAAGATAGATGGCCGGCAACTACACCACCTCCGCTTTGCTGATGACATTGTTTTAATAACACCAAACATCAGCCAAGCGGCACAAATGCTGGCCGACTTTGACCGTGAGTGTGGAAAGGTAGGACTACAGCTGAATCTTACAAAGACAATGTTTATGAGAAACAGCCTCATTCCTGATGCCCCATTCGCTCTCAACGGAATGA